AAAAAAAAAAAAAAAAAAAAATAAGAGCAATATAAAAAAAGAACAATATAAATTTTATTTATATTGTTTTTTTTCGTTTCTTTTTTTAATTTTTCTCTTTAGAATAAATTAGTAAAAAGATATATTTTTATGAATTTAGAGAAGAAATCATTTTCTAAAGAAAAAATTCAACTAGTATTATTTATTATTTTTATTTATTAATTTATTCCTCATAAATAATTATTATAACTTTTCATTGTTAAAATTTGGAGTGGTGAAAAGATAATGGGAAAATATTTTCCTTGAACACTTCAGGAATCATATATTTACACACGCCATCGAAAACTGTGTCAAGGTTCTCATAAATAAATAAATAAATAAATAAAAAAGAATATTATTCATATAATCGATGCGATTCATGTAAATCACATAACCTCGTAAAGTGCAAACTTGACTGACTTTGCCAACACGATATACAGGATATATCAGGATTGATATTTGTAAGAACAAGAGAGAGTGAGTCGAGGGCTCGAGAATCATTTATTATTCGCCTTCAGGCACCCTATCGTTAAGTGAAATAGCAGCACTTCAATTTCATGCAAATGCAAAATTGTACATACGATATACATCGTGAGATGTGGCGTTGATAGGCTCGTGTATCGGCAGGTTGTTGTGAATATTGTTGGTGGTGGAATTGGTTGTGTTGTTGTTGTCGGACTTGTCCACTCGCGTCGTTTTGGGATGAAAGAATGACAGTAATTTCTGAAAAAAAAAAAAAGAAAAATTATAAAAGCTCTTAAGGATTTAACTCGATAGTAGAATACTTAAAAAAATATATGTATACATAATATATTACACGATATAATAATTAAACTTCAGATATTTTTATGAAAGTAATATTTTACTTTGAATATTTTATATATTTTTGCATACTATTGTGCACATACATGCATTTTATGCATTTTTGAATGTTAATATTTCCATTTATATCCATAAATGTATGGATATAATCGCGATATAATAATATTAATAATAATAATAATAATAATAATAATAATAATAACAAAAATATTTATACATATTGTTGACTCGGTTATTTTGAAGTGACAAAAATTTAGTTGTATTGAGTCAAAATAAGATGTAATTGCTACTTGAAATAATAATAATAATTTATAAAATATCGAATTTTTGAAAAGAATGTAGAACTTTTTTTAAAGCTATTCTCCTGTAAATTTAATTAGTTGAGATATACGTGTTCGATAAATCAATCGATTAATAAAAATTTTTTTTCTGAAATCTAACATTTCTGAATCTAACTATAATTTATGTTCTGAAATTTTCAACCGAATCAGAATCGAAACTTTTCTATCATTGCGTCGTAAAAAAAAGGAAAAAGGAAAAAGGAAAAAGAACATGTTTTTCCACATCGGTCCATTCGCAACTTTCAAATTTATTTATCCAAGCTGGGACAAAGAAAGCCGCGTTTTCGTCGCAGTATTTTACAATCACCGAGTTTCTCGAGGGAAAGTGGGGTAACAGGGTGGCTGCAATAAATTCCACCAGTGGCCGTCGACGACAACGAGGATCAGGTCGGTGATTACGTTCCACTGCCCCGTTCCCGTGATCGTAATACAATATTCGCATGCAAACTCGTTATATGTTGCAATCATTAATTGAAATAATTTAAAGAAAAAAATTATTTTTTTTTAAAGGAATTTAGATTATCTTTTGTCGATATGAAAAAAAAATTTAACACTATTTTTTTGTGAATTGTTATTTTTCTTGATAAAAAAATCCATATTTCACACTTATAAAAATAAAATATTCAGTTGACTTGTTCTATTTAAAATCAAAAATATAAATGAAGAAATATTAATGATAAAAATAAGAGACACATATTTTTAAGTTGAAACATAAAAATATACCATATATGCTATAATACGTATAATAATTTACAAATCATGAAATTTCGTGAATCATAATAAATCAATCATAAAATTATTAATTAGTCATCAAATTTCTTTTGCATAAAAATATACGTTTTAATGTCAAAATGAAATATGGAATACCGTTAGAAATTTATTTTCTCATTATCTTGGAAAGATAATAGTAACTATACATATGTACACATTCATATAATTTTCTCTCTCTCTCTCTCTTTTAGAAAGAAATCATATTCGACCTTCGCCATAAAGTACATATTAAATAGTATTTAACGATCAATAAATCTCATATATACTACATAAAAAATAATGAACAAAAAAATAGTTTTTTTTTTCTTTCTTCTTATCCCTTCTTCTTTTCAGATATTTATCAATAAAAATCACTAAATTTCCAAAAAAAAATCTAAGTCGCTTAAATATTATCGTTGATGTAAAAATAGTAAATGATAATAATATAATAAAAAGAAAAACTATGAAAAAGTAACTAACATAACCTATGAAAATAAGAATGAACAAGCACGCAAAGCTAGACAGCAGCAAACGTTGGATTATTGACCCTTAACAACGAGTTTAACGACACCGCGAGAAGCAAGCTGACAATTATGTCTCCTTTTTCAGGCATTAAAACGTTTCGTTTGCGAAGCATCGCCTTTCCGTATGGCCAAGGGCAGTCACCGTTCGCTTGTGCCGTTTGAATGATAATCAACTGTCTTTGTCTTGTTCGTTCTTCGCGCCATTACAATAGCGAGTGGTGGGGATAGGGCACAGTCACGCGACCTACGGGTGCGTTTCCATTAATTCTCTGCGAACGTTGTCCTCACGAGTCCTGAATTTCGCGTTCGCCTTAAGCAAAATCGACTAGTAGTTCGTACTCTTTTCTCCAATTACTTCTCGCCCGTGTTAAGAGTTCGTAAATCGCTCGCGATCTATCGAGCCTGAGAATCGAATTCGTTTCTTTGCACGCTCTGGCGAGCACAAGAACGTAGTCAAGGTGTTGCTTCATACATATGTGAAAAAAAAGAAACATATGTGGGTTCAGAGTGATTTTATAATCTTGATTGATTTGCGAGCTCGAACGATATGATGGATCGTTCAATCGTGTTATGGAGATATTGACGAGGAATGGAGGTTAAATGAAATGGTAGTCATGTTTAGAGTGTTTCAATTTTGTTCTAATTTATTAATCGAGTTATTTATTTGTTTATTTTAATACTTGTACTTAAAAACTTAAAATAATTTGTAACTTTAATTGAAAAATAGTATTTTAATCGATAATAAAATATTATAATATAATTATATTGAAATAAGCAAATATTGAAAATCTCTTAATGAAAGTTCTTCAAAAAAATAGTTTTGATTCGTATAAGGATTGCCATTTATAATTTTTATTTATAATTGGAAATCTGAAATTTACGAAAGTTGAGATTTTAAGAACATAATATATACAAATTATTGTATATATTAAAAATACATAGCGATTCATATAAACGAGAATTAATTTCGTATTTGTCTTGCAATAAACTAAGATTAATAATCTTCTCTATTTTATTATGTTATAATAATTCACATTAAATTTATTCTATAAAATTTCATCGCCATAAATAAAATTACTATTTTTAATGTAATCGAATATCGAAATGTTAATTGCTTACGTGAATGCAATAATTATCAAGAGTTTTATAAATTTGATTTGAGGTTATATTTCGATTATATGAAAAAATATCAAATATAGAGAATATTTGCCTATTTTTACTAGACACTTACTTTATATTTGATTTAGATTACTTTAAATTGATTAGATAGTAAGATAAAATGAATTTTATTTACTTTTATTCAAAATAATTTCTATCTCCTATGCATTATATATGGGTATATGTAATTAACAATATATATATAGATAGATATACAATTACTACGTATCAATTTTCAGATAATTTTCATAAAGAGTTCGTGGAAAGCATATTAATCGCACATGATTAAAGCAGTGAATATATTAATTACGAACGATATCGAGTCGAATCCATTATACTTTCAACTGAGTTAAGTGAAAACAAGATATAAAAGTTCGAAAGTGCATCGTTTTTCATAAATCATAATTCAATATTCGTAGAAGAACGAGAAAGTTCCCTTCTTTTTCATTACATTGATCGCATCTTATAAACTTCTGTTGTTTGCAACTAGTTCATCGGTGCAACCTGTAATCGCAGGATCGTGTGTGCTCATTTGCCTTGAAGGAATACGTGCGCTACCAATTAAATCAGGCTAAACTGAAGTCGGTTCTAAGATAATATCAAAATGACTTCTCTGCGCATTAACTAGCTCGATGAACACGATGAATGAAGCATAAATCAAAGTGAAACGAAGAGAAATAGATTATCGGAAGTCGAAGACTGACTATTGATTTCTGGGGAGACCAGGAAGTTTATTCATGGAAGAACAAGAAGCTTCTTCTTCGTTTATGGTATTACTCATAGGATATTATAAACAGTTTATAACTTGCAAGCAATTAATCTTAATAATGTGTGGATATTGTATATATCATTATGCTTATTTAAACATAAGAAAAACTTTATTTTGGATTATTTCGATTATTATTTTAATTTTTACAAAAGAAATGCATATAGATGTTAATAATTTTTTTTTAGAATTTTTTAATATTTAGAATATTGAAAATGTTTAAGATGAACAAAATGAATTCCATAAAATTAATAAAAAAAAATTGAATTAATAATAATGTTGAAATTTCATCATTAAAAAATATCCATAATTAAGAGAAAAAAACAACATCTGCAATAAATTCTTTTTCAAAAATTGAAATAATCATAAAAATTCAATTCAAATTGATAATAATCTTAAAATTTCTAAATCAAAAACTAATTTATTTGTGAATTTTTTAAGAAACGTTTCTAAAACTATAAAAATTTATTCAGTTTCAGTTTATCCTTCAGTTCCACAAATATTTCATAGTAAATAATTCAACGTAACTCGCACAACATGCAATCTCAATCATATTTATGATCACGCGAGCGAATCGAAACGTAGAAATTATCATGTTCGTGGTATCGTATTGAAAGTCCAAAGAAAAGAGAAGAGCTCCTATTTCCAAGAGATAGTTCGTCGGTTAATCGAGCGTGCGCTCGAATTCAACTCGACATGACATAACGATTCGCCGCCAATTGATTAAACTTAACGACGATTAAGAGAAGGCAAAATGTTGACATAAATTTCTATTAAAGGGTCATGGGACCGTGTGTAACTGCTGTCGCCAAGAAGCATCCCTGTTGGATTATATTCACTTTAAGGTTTCAGGCCCGATCTTTTTTATGGTTCTTTAATATATTATGATATATACTTTAGATCAAGTGATTCTCAACTTTCCTTGAATCACATTTTTC